CAGTTGGTCGGTAAGCGATTATTGAGCGATGATTTTCCTTTTCAGAATATATTCTACATATAAGTAATAATTTCATAGAAAAATCGGAGGAAAGAGCGTTAAATTGCACATTTATTAGATATAGTTGAAGAAGAAAGTCTAGAAATTATCAAGAGTTTTAAATTTCTATTTTATAAATCTCTGTAAAGGTACAGTCGTATGTACGTAACATCGTCGAGCGAACCTGTCGCCGGGCAGACGGTAGCGCCAGCCGTGTTATCAGCGCGCAGTCGAGCTTTCGGCGAAGCGTGGCGCCGTGTGGTGTCGTGTCGCGTTCGTACTCGAACCTCAAAGCGGACCAGAGCCCGCGTCCCGACCGTGAATCCCGACGTGTGAGGACCGACGTGATCTACGAGTTATCCTTTTTCCGCCCCCCCGCGAGTCAAAGGATGGGCGGTCACCGGGCGTTCCTGGCGCTCGCGGCGTCGGCGAGTTTGCTCCTGGCCACGTACGCACCGGGCCACGTAGCCGGCTCGAGAGTGCTGCAGATACGCGGTATTCCAGTGGCGAAGTCACCGCTGTACCCGCCGGATCGCGACTTCGAGTGCCTGGACGGCAGCCGATTGATACCGTTCACGCGGGTCAACGATGATTACTGTGACTGTGGGGACGGCAGCGACGAGCCCGGAACGGCGGCGTGCGGCAACGGCTTCTTCTACTGCGAGAACACCGGTCACCAGCCGGTCTATATCCCGTCGTCCTGGGTGAACGACGGCGTGTGCGATTGCTGCGACACGAGCGACGAGTACGCGTCCAAGGTGAAGTGCGTCAACAACTGCAACGAGCTAGGCCGGGAAGCCCGACTGGAACAGCAGAAGGCGGAGCAGTTGGCGCGAGAGGGTAACAAGCTGCGCTTAGAACTAGTGACCAGAGGAAAAACCATCAAGACGGAGCACCAGTCGCGTCTAGCCAAACTAAGAACAGACTACACTGAGGCAGAGCTGATCAAGAGGGAAAAGGAGATGCTGAAGAAGCAAGCGGAGGAACTGGAAAGTGTGGCGTTGGAGAAGTATAAACCCACTGAAACTGAACAACCGTCAACTACCGAGGAGGGTGTCGAAGAAGGTGAGGAAGCAGTCGAGGAGGAAGATTCCAAAGTTTCCGAAGCGGAAGATTATTTCAAGATGTTGGATTCGGATTCCAGCGGTACAGTAACAATAATAGAGCTACAAACCAGAGCTACATTTGACAAGGACAGGAATGGTGTCGTATCGGAAGAGGAAGCGTTGTATTTCTTGGGCAATAAAAAGAAGTCACTTTGCAAGAGTTTGTAGATATCGCATGGGCAAACATAAAACCCTTCTTCATGTTGGAGCAAGGTAAATAATGTTACAACTAACTTTTATCTTATCTCTTTTCTGCAGTCCATAAACTGTGACGTAGAACTTGCAATTGCAGGTATATTCAAGGGAGCAGCGGATAAGGACGAGATCGACGAGCAGCAACCTACTGAGGATTTGGATCACGAGAATGTAGATGACAGAGAAATTCATGAAGGGGAGGAAGAGGATGTCCCTGAGGAGGAACACGAGAAGGAACCATCAGAGCCAGAAGTTCAGTACGACGAGGAGACACAAGCGCTCATCGACGAGGCTAACAGTGCTCGTGAACGTTTCCAAGAGGCCGAGAAGGCCATCAACGAACTGCAGTCGGAGATTAGAGGGCTGGAGGAGAAGCTGGACCGTGATTATGGGCCTGAAGAGGTGTTTGCTTCGCTCGACGGCGAGTGCTTCGAGTATACGGACTTGGAGTATGTTTACAAGCTGTGCTTGTACTCTCAGGCAACTCAGAGATCCAAGTCTGGTGGCAGCAGCGTCAATCTGGGTCACTGGAACGACTGGGTCGGGCCGACCGGCGCCAAGTACACAAAGATGAAGTACGACCGAGGCCTCACTTGCTGGAACGGTCCGGCACGTTCCACGATCGTTACTCTGTCGTGTGGTACAGAGAATAAGCTTGTGTCGGTGTCGGAGCCGAGTCGCTGCGAGTACGCCATGGAATTTTCCACACCGGCGCTCTGCAATCCCAGCGCAGCAGAAACTGATAGACATGACGAACTGTAAAACTCATTGATTCATTAGTAAAATGAAAACGCGATCGGTCGCACGTACAATGTGGATGTCAAGCACTTACACTCTTTCGGTGGACTGCGAGATGAGAGTTGCAAGGCTCGATGAGAAATAACGTTAAGATAAAAAAAAATCCATGCAAATATTTTCAACGCAATTGCGATTAGCAACATAGCTAATAATTTTTTTTATTCTAATGGATATCTGTTATCGCGGGTTGGGATGCACTATTTCTTTTTTCTTTTTGTTTCCTAGCGATCATTACGTAATTAGCGTAAAGCTCTTAGGTAATGAAGTTTTATAGAAGTTTCGAAGTGCTATCGTGTGTTGTATCTTTCAGTATCGAAGTTGTCTGTGAGTAAAACAAGAATATCATTGCGAATATAAAATACGTTGTCAACGGAGCCTAGTCATGTATTAAATTGATCAAAAAATTTGATCGCATTTTCCCTACCTCGCTTTTACGAAATGTGGGTCGTTGAAAATCGATGTGCTTTGTCAGCATAATTCGCGCATAATTGATCCACATCTTACTAAAGAAAAGTGAAAAAGATTTCTTGATCAATTTAATACAATATACATTTAATTGATAACACTTCAATAATTTTAAAGAGAATGACAAATGACAGGTAAAAATATTCAAATATTCAGGCTGATAAAAAATGTGCCACTGTATACACGAGTTACAACGATTACGATCGCGATCAATAATTCGTCCTTGCATTCTTAATATTCGATGTTTCGCTAGTGATAGTCCGCAAAATAATTATCTTGAATTTTATCTCATTTTATGAAACCGTAAAGAGATCGTTGTTACGCGCGAATTCATTGCCAACGTGTTGAAACTCGCTGTTACATTCCTCTTTTTGTACACGAAGCATTTCTACGATGTGGTCTAAGAATAAAATCAGAAACGTAATAACGGCTGATGTTAAATATCCGACATATAACTTTTTGTATCACTTCTAGTACATACCTCGTTATCGCATAAGGAAAAAAAAAGTTCACACCGTTTCCGGGATCGATTAGCCACACGTACATACTGACTAGGTCCTAATGTTCAGCATTATACATTTAAGTCGGAAATTTTGTAATTTTTTAAGGGCGCGCCACACACGAAAGTCGGCGTGATACTGTGGAATATGCATATAATAAAGAGAGAGAGAGAGAGAGAAAGGGTTCTGTTGTCGAACTGTAATTTGCGATGGCAGCTTTATTTACATCAATGGAAAGAAAAGTCTGTTCAGTGTAAATGCGCGCGTGTATGTATGCTGTGTGTAGAATTTCTCTTGTTATTCTGTATAATATTACATAATATTACAGTGAGACGTGGTGGTTAAAATCCAGTTTTCCTATTTATTCTAAGAGACGATCTTTGCATCTTTCGGGATCCGGAACGTACGTCCATCATTTGAATAACTGAGGAAGGGGCTGACGATACGTTTTCGCGTTGTCCTACAATCGTATTTCGTATTGTTCCTTGATTTCAGTTCGGTAAGGCACTTGAAAGGCTACTAAAAAGTCACTTCTCCCTCGCGAAAGTCGACGAGTATAAGACGATATGCTCCATACAGCCTTTTCTACGCCTCAGCAAGAAAAATGTAATAATCACATGCTATTGCCGATAATTTCACAATTATATATATTATCTTCTTTATAATAATATTTCGTAGACATTTAATTAAATCGAGACCAAGTATTATTAATATCACTTTGTGATACATTTCATCGAGGAGTTATGGGTCAGTTTTGCGTAATTTGAATTACACATTCCATCTAGATAATCTGTGTGGGAGATTAATACATTCTTGTTTATATAAAATAAATGAAGTTTTCGAGAGCGAAAATATACAATTGCACGTACGTAACATTTCTTAGATCGTCGTACAGCTTACGCATTTCATGTCTCTTCTACATTTATCAACGTTAATACTATAATGTGATACATATTTATATATTTTTTTCTTCATAATCATTAAAGTGATAACGTACAACATATTCTTTTCATATTTACACGATATGAGATAATACACGGTATTTATAAATGCATCACGCCGAGAGGATCACATCTTTGCTAAACTACTGTACAATTATCTGCGAGTGAACTAAGACTCCCTACGAGAATGTACGCGTATTCGCAAATATATTTCCGTGACGATGAACATCATGCGCGATCAGATATAATCTCATCAATTGTTTTTTTATACAATTTTTAATTGTATAAAAAGCGAGTTTAAAAATTATCGTCGCAAATAAATCTTTTTCTTTAATAAATGCGATGCGACGACGAAGCAAGGCCTACTATATGGTCAGAGTTTTTCTCGATTTTTGAAGATACCGCGATTATTAATTATGATTATATTTTGATTAATTGATATACAAATATGCGAGCAAATTATTTAGAAATCTAAATACCAAACGTTTATGATATCTCTTAGAGATTTTTATTTTCTCTCTAAATATATATATATTTAAAAGAATATTTTTCCCGCGATTTACTATTTTTATCCGTACAATTACTCGTTGAATGAATTTTTTATTATTTCAAGTCCACAGCTCTGCAGATGATCAAAAGAGGTCCTCTATGAAAAATAGTTAGTCTGCATTCTAATTCTTTTATTTTACTCGTTCATGATCGTCCAATATCGAGAACACTACTCTAGAACATATGTATTTATCAAGCATTAAGCGAGATCGTTTATCTCTTTTCACGGTTCTCGTATCTTCTCTCTCCCTACATTAAACTTCAGTCACTATCAAAGCAACCTTAAGAGAATCGCAAGAGAACGATTCTAAATCGTTCTGTCGCTGCGCGTTCATTTCCCAAGTTTCTCGAACATGATAAGTTTCTCTTTGAAGCTTTTGGTGTCGGTCGACACCTCCGATATGTTTCCATTGAGCATGTTCTGCAGATCCTCATCATTCTTATTGCTCACTAGCAGATTGTCAAAAAGCATCTTCGTGTCCTCTTGCTTGGCTACCGGCGATGTCGGCTGCGACGTGCTCATTTGCTGCTTCTTCTTCGGATAGATGACAGAGCCGCGTTGATTATTTCCATTGTCGGCCATTCTGGTCATTATTGTGATGGCAAATAATTGTTGGATACCTAAATTATCCTTAGATACCGGTTCCGAAGATTGGCGCCAATAGTATTTATTATCGGCGGAGATGAGCGACTTGGAATCTTCCGTGTCGTCTCCCATCGATGTTTGATCAGAGTCAGTCGCTGGTATGTTTCTGCTGGACCAAGAGTCCTGAAAGATTATTAGAGATTAGAGATGCTCATCGTCGAGAAAATTTAGAAAGATACTTGCTGGTAAATGAAATATTAAATAACTATTTAACTTACATATAATTACATAATTCTTTTTGATATATCAAATTTTTTTATTATCTTGAAGTCTGAGAAATAAACTAACTCCAATCAATCATCATCTTCATTTATATAACTGGCATAATTTCTTAAATGATAAGAAAGAATAGAAAAAAGTTACCTTAATTTATTTATATTTTTCATATATTATTAATTTATATTGTTTTCTATTATCTCTATATTATGTTATCTCTAAAGCCTTACATTTTTCTCGCGCCTATCTATCACACTGTCCGTGATCTCCTCCTCCTTCCTGTCCTGCTCCAAATCTTTCTCCAGACTATCCAGCGTCTCGGTGCTCTCTGATGACTTATTCCTCCTCTCCGAATCCAAGGTGTCTGTGCTACCCAATTCTGAACTTTCAGAGGATTTCTGCAGCCTCGATGGTTTCCTGGTAGGAATCGGTCGCTTCTCTCCCTCGTGATCATCTCCAGACACTACATCTACTACGCTGGTGCTCGGTACTCTTTTAGGCGTTCTTCTAACTCTCCTGTTCTCCAGCCTGTCCTCCACGTCTAAATTATCCGAACTCTCCGAAGACATTCTCTTGCTCGAGCGTCTGACGCCCGTCTTCGGCGTGTCGTCCTCCAGTATCAATTCCGCCTCGACGTCATCCGCCTTCGTCTCGCTCGTGTCAATTTTCTCGAAGCTCTCGGACGATTTGGAGATACTCTTCGATAGTCTCCTGCCGCGTGATAGATTGATGTCGGACACGCTGCTTCTCTTCTGCAATTCTTGACCGACTTCCTCGATGTACCCGCTCTGCTCGAGCATGTCAAAGCTCTCCGACGACTTGGACATCATCTTTGAACTTTTATGTGCCCGGAAGTCGAAGCTGCTTCGTCGTCGCTCCATCGAATCGTCGCTGGCGAGCGGTTCAATCGCTTCTAGACTGTCCGACGACTTGGAAACGCGATCGGTAGACTTCGAGATCGGATTCAGCAGTTGTCTCCTGACCGAGGCCACCGGTTTCGCGGTCTCTTCGTACTCCACTAACTTGTCAAAACTCTCTTCGGTGGATTTGGAGAACCAACAGCCGGGAGATGAGTCCAGATTGTCCGGCGATTTGGACAATCGATTCGATGAAGATCTCCTGCGCGGTAGCTTCGCTTCCAGCTCCTCGAACATGTCGGAACCCTTGGATATCCGATTGGACGGCCTTCTGGCGACCGACATCCATCGGACTTCCGGCTGTTGCTGCTCCTCGGTAGCGGCGGTCATCTCGGCGCTGCTTCGCGACGCGGTCGTAGCATCCAGGCTGTCTGGCGACAACGACGTAGCGCTCGGTTTTCGCGGTAGCCTCGACTCTAACTCCTCGAAGATGTCGGAGTTGCGAGACAATCGGCTGGATGACTTCCTGGTCACGCCGATTGTTTTGGGCGGTTCGGTCGGCGACGACGCGTTACTGGTTGGCTGAGGCTGCTGCTGCTGCTGTTGCTCTTGCTGCTCCAGACTGTCCAGGGTATCCTCGACGATGGTCGGTGGTATCGATGGCGAACTGGGCATGGCACCGTTGGACGGTGTCGTCGTTGGCGTCATGCGACGCGGCGGACGTCGATTCTTTGGACGCACGGAGATCCGGTGATGCGCCGCCGTGTGATTCAGGCTCGCGCTTTCTAACTCCGCTGTGAAAGAAAATTATATTTATCAATCATTGTGCGAAATATATCGTAATATAAGTGTAATGCAGAATAAAACATGTATGTATATAATCTGCATCGTTAATGTGATAATAATATATTGATAGTCAATGTATTGGTTGTGCAAAGTGAAAAAAGCAATTATTGTAAATTATTTGGTATTATTTAAAATGATAATTAAACGTAACCAAATTGAGAACTTTTTCCATACCGTTTCCTTTTTGTCATTTTAATTTAATTTTCGTATAAAAGTTTGGATTGTAATTAAATAGTTGAATAGAAAGTGTGATAAATCATATTTAATTTAAGTAATTTAGTAAAGCAATGAAATTGGAAGTAATATTCTGTGAGACTTACGTAAATCTTCTTTGGCTACCGGAACAGTTCGATCGAGCGTGTCCTTTGTTGGTCTCGTAATCTAAATAAAATAAAAAAATCAATTTTTATTATTTGATGAAACTTGACTACTCGAGCTTGTGTGTATCACGCTATGCCAACGAATCTTACTTTGCAATTTTCCGCTCTATTTGTCGAGAGTTCGTAAGGACTCTTTTCAGCGACTCAAAATAATTATAGATCCTTACAGCAATCAAAAATAATATATGAATTTTTCATAGCTAACTAGATTTGAGCTAACATATCGATTAATTAAAATAATCAACAATATAATAAAGTAATATTTCTAAAATCTCTGCTAAAAGAAAAACGTAAAGACCATTTCCCTGTGTCATTAATAAAAAGCACTCGAAGAAGCGCGCTTGCAAAAAAAAAAAAAAAAAAAACTAATCGGTAGGTTTCAGATAAACATAGATCTCCGAGAGATCGTGGAAGCTCTCAAGCGTGAGCTCCCGATTATTTTCGATCTGCCGATTAACCCAGCTCGCAGGCGGAGAGAGACCCCGTGCGATATAACGTGATTCTTGGCGCCGTTACCGGCAATAATTTTCAACAAACGAACCAGGCAAGAGCTGGCACGTCGCCTGGTCGTTCGGTCTCTAACGGTATTGACCACCGTGCGAGAGCCGAGAGTCGCCGAGTGCCGCGGCGCGGCCACTTAACCGCGATCGGCTTCGGAAACCGGTCGCAGGTGCGTCGCCGGTGCTGCTTACCGACGAAGTCATTTCCCGAAAGAGAAAGAGAGCGCAGGGAAGAGGGCAGGAAAGAGGAGGACGGCGAGGGAGGAGAAAGGAGACATCGGGGGACGAGCCTCGGATCGTTCGTCTTCTTAACCGGTGCGTAATTGCGCCGGTGATCGCACGGTTCACGCGATCCTTCGCGATCATCACGTGGGTGTGATCAGCACGAGAGACGATAATAAGGCACGAATGGCCGGCGAATGAACGTGATCGACTCGTTAAAGTCATTTGTACGACGTGGGCACGACGTGATATTCCAGAATATTTATGACATTGCTAAATCCGTCATCAGAAAGAGAGAGAGAGAGAGAGAGAGAGAGAGAGAGAGAGAGAGAGAGAGGTAGTAATACAACTAGT